ACGTTTGCCTATGTCAGCATCTAAGTCATGAACATTGTCCTCTAGGTAACGTGCTGGCTGTCCGCGTAAAAACATATTTGGAGTGATATACTTGTTCTAAGTCTTCCTCCATGTAGCACAATGGTCTGTTGTTCATGAAAATTCTACATCCAGCAGTACTTCCTAGTTCTTCGAACGTCAGCAGCGCTCGTCCTATAGTTTTGGATAGGGCTCTTTTTGTGATACCAATGAGTCTCTAAAAGAAACCACCCCACCATGGAGAGCGTGACAGGTTAAATCTCCACTCAATGCCCTTTGTTGTGAGGTAGTTAAATATATCTTCATCATTCTGAAGCTTAGTTAGCCACATCTTGGTCGCAACAAATGTCTTGGCATTGTCACTCACCATACAACTTGGTGATCCTCTCCGTGCAACAAACTCCTTCGTTGACATATCTATGCACAGCTTTAAGTGTACAGCTCTGGTAGTTGCACATGTGAAGAGAGCGATGTAAGCCTTATTCGTTTCACTCTTGCCTAATTTGTAGTGAAGTGGTCCTGCAAAGTCCACACCTGTCACATCAAAGGGCTCAGTAAATTCAGTTCGGAAGGCAGGTAGAACTGATGTCACAGGTGCATCCAACATTTTTGCACGGTACTTTTTGCAATGGTTGCAATTGTGTAGTATTGATTTGACTAGGGATCTCAGTTTTAGAATCCAGTATTTAAATTTCTCTCTCACCTTACTCATTGTTTTGGCTACTCCGCCGTGTAATGTTAGAATATGGCAATGCTCAATTATCCGTCTTGCTAAGGCTGACTTTCGTGGAATGTAGATTGGATTGTAACCTTGGATTCTACTGCTGCATCTCTGTATCCCGTCATGATCTACTGATATTGCAATGTCTATTATCATTCTGTTTGTTTGTTGTGTCATTTTAATCCATACTGTCTCCGCTGCTGACATCTCAGATATAGTGAGTGGCCCAATCCGTCTCATCCCTCTACAGCTGTCTGCAAAA